TGTTCAAACCTACCAAGAGCTCAGTTACTGAAGCACATACATACTAAAATACATGAAAAAGTGTTTTACTAGTTGAATATGAATCTGTCTGGCTGAGATGACTGGTATCCTGCAGCTGATCATGGGTCTTAAGTTGATTACGGAAAATATTTAAAACCAAGTCCTATTCATATACTAAACCTTTGCTGGATTTGGCTTTAGACAGTATGTTCTACCCTATAATTGAAAAACATTACAGTGGACATTACTGAAGAATTAGTTGCTGAAAAACACAGTTAGATGTCATTAAATATCCTGTGCTGTCATGCATTTCCATTTCCACTAGCATAAACACCACCAAATGTTTAAAACAAATCTTTTAGGACAGTAAAAGTCCTTGATCAGTGTCTGCCCTAGTGTCTAAACAGAGACATTACACATCGAAATGCACATTTATTCACATTAATATGAATTTATTATTAATAATAAATTAATCATTAATAAACAAAATGTCTCCTCTATTTTTGTCCATTTTTATGAACATATGAATTAAATGAAAATGAAACAATAAAAAGAAAATTTAAAAAATAATGAACACACCAAAACAGACAATTGTTATTGTACAGTTAATATATATATATTTTTAAATATAATAGACTATGCAGTGTTTCCCACAGACTTGCACTCTATTTGTGGCGGCATGTATATGCAAATTCATTCTCTGCCAGCAGGAGGCGCTTGAAGAGCAGGAGAGATAGAGGTTTCCCCATGTAAAGGCTGTACACAAAGCATAGCTCAGCTCACAAACGCTGCTTTATCAGGCATTACATGCAAGATGAAATGAAAATGACATCCATAATTTTCTGAAGACAGTCGGATTCCTTTATAAATACAGTGATATAAAAACACCCGCAGCGGGTTTCGATTTTGAAACGTGCAGTGCTCATGTTTATTCAACGAAGTCAAAGCCTTTTGGAAAATCTATTTGTGGAGGTCAGTTCTGATACTGTAGCGGACCGCCACAAATAAATCAATGTATGGGAAACACTGCTATGATCTTAACTGTTGTATTTTTAATTAGCCAGGGTGAATTCGCTTTGTTGGCTTTTTTTTTTTTTTACCTTGAGCTCTCACTGATGTCAGTACTGTGAGTGTTAGGAGAGCGGCCGCTGCCAAACGCCTGAGCGACATCTTCACTCCAGTATCAGCAGAACATCAATCAATCTGAAAAATCAACCAAATTACACACACGTTGCTCATGAATAAATCCGAAAAAAGACTATACACTCAACTCCAGCACAGTTCACTGCAAGAGATCTCATTCAAATCTGATTTTAATTAAAAAAAAATGTATTCCAAATCCAGCTGTTTCTATGGCCAAGAGAGGAAAAATTGGTTTTCCATGGTTAATAGTCCAAATATTTTTGGAAAATATTCATTAAACAAGGACGCTAAGTAAAATAACTCGCTGTGGGTCTTAGAAAAACATTCCCTACAGCATTTTAATGGCAAAACATTTATAAACTGCACATGCTGTATGTAATCTGCTTATTCATCTGTTTAACATCGGAAACTGTGAGTTCATAGACTGTATGCAATTGTCTGGAAATTTGCCTGATTTTAGGATCCTACACATCAGGGGTGGAAAACTTTTCTGCAGGGTTCCTGCGCCCCCTGTTGTGCCGGGAAAAATTCAGACTTCACATCCTGATATTCATGCTGAGAGCAACTCACCACTCTGCCTCTAAACTTTGGCAATGTACTTGGTCTCTATGTTACATATATTGCATGCTACTTTCAATAATTACCAATGTAAGAACAAGCAGCTCACAGAATATTTGCACAATAGGTACATGTCGTTCATTAATATTACTCAGTAATTAGTTTTCACTCTGCAAAACTCATTTCAAGCAGTGTGATGTGATGTACTTAATCTAAAACTACTTTACTCAACATTTTCCCAGTCATTATATGACCCCATATTAATTGAGAGACTACATCTGCACTTTCAAAAGGCATTTGGCACACAGCGGAACCACTTTGGACCAACTAGGGTAAAAGGTTATTCAAATAATGAAGAAAGAAAGAAAACATACAGGAACTTGTGCAATTATGTCTTATGCAAATGTTTAGCTTAAAAGGTAATCATTTTTTTAAATAAATAAATAAAACAAATAACAAAAAGGTGAAAGGACATGTGTGAGCCAAACCTTTAACAACACATTGTGCCTATAATACATCTTGGGTTTGGTTTTGTAATAGCCTAAGAAATTAAAGTAAAGTAAATTTGAATGAATAATCAAACGTAAGTCTTAAAAACCTCTTCATATGGTGAAAACAGGTAAAGTGGGATACTTTTTGATCATTTTTTATTGCCGTTATTTTAAAATATGATGCCAGATAGACTTAGCACATCACAGAAAACCTTCATCATGTTTATATAAGATCTCCAACCACACTGTAGAGAGAAAGGAGCTACTTTGCCAGTAGTCCCACTTTACCTGTAGGCTATTATTTAAGTGAATTAGGTAAATAAACTTTAAAAAACTCAGCAAAGAAAGTCCTAAAGGTTTCATGAATCTTACAAGTGGTCTAGATTTCCCAACAAAACAAAATAAATCTGTTTCATCCCAATCTACTTTAAAAGAGCACAATGACAGTGATGGAAAAAATGAAATCACCATACAGCGTCTATGGAAAAAGTGATCAGAGCTGCTGAAAATGGGTCAGTGTGCGCACATTCATGATTTCACATCACATCTACTACGTCTCAAATTTATGAGCATTATCATCTTCCTCCATAAATATGTATAAAGAGGTTAATCAATAAACGAACAAAACAAAAAAAACTCCACGTGAGCACTTACCAAACTCCCCAAAGTTTCCAAAAACCTTCAATACATCACAAAACTGGTGAATGAAGATGGGAAATTCGCCCAGATGCAAAGGGGTTTTAACGGTCTGTTCAGAAAGGCAGAGGTTCTCCGTGATGCTGTAGTGATGGAGATGAAGAGGAGGGTCTGGTCACCCCACAGCTCGTGAAGGCTGTTTCCAAATGCACGGGATCTCAGACTAGAATGTGCTTCTTAACGGGGCTGATCCCGAACCCCGAGCTCTGACGTCACGCGCCTGTGCGGTGGATGTGTTGGGATGCGCTTTTGGAAAGTCGCGCATATTTTCGGCATTCCTGCAGCATGTCACTCACCAGTGTTTCGGGTTTCGGCAGGGATTACTATGGAATACATATTCCTGACGACATTCAAAAGGAATCGCTAATGCGGGACTATTTATATAGCCATTGCGGACATACAAGACAATGAAACAACTCGATTACAATGTTTAGGGTGTTACAAATAACTAACAAAGCAATTAAACGATGACTTTCATGTGGGAGAACCTTTTCAAATGAATTTCTGTCGGTCATTTTCGGAGCGCAAACTGAGGCGATTCGTCTCGCGTGGCAACAAAAATTATTTTACTGTGTTCCTAGCAGTTATTAACCCAAACGACAATTATAGCAAAACAAAATAAAAAAATACACTAAAGATTTTTGTATACAATTCGACATATAAATACATAATGTCTTGATAAATATTTACGCTTATGTTTATGAGGTATCGCCCAACGGTCCTAACGAAAAGCGCGCCAGCGGTAACTATGGTAACATCTTCACGCCAGAACGAACTTTTGTGGTTGGTTAAACTTGTTAAATAATATTCCAATAAGTATTTTTTTCTCTCCCTCTGTGATATTATCTCGGTTGGAAAATCAAGCTTATAAGCCTGTTGCTGTGTTTTTTTTTGTGTGTGGGTTTTTTTTTTACATCTTAGCTGATTTTTAGCTGGACTGGACCATAATGACAAAATTATTTTTTTTAAATAAATATTTTTAAAAAACGGTAACACTTTACACACAGATATCAGGATTTGAGTAACTGTGTCCAGCAATAGAAAACAGAAGCATAAAACCAAATTGTCCAAATTGTCACCTGTAATGGGGCTTTTTAGTTTTTTTATATTTTTATTTTATTTTATGGACTTGTAACATCGAAAGTATCTGTACCGTTGACAGATGAATTTCAGCTCGTAGATCAGTTTTTCAACAATGCATTTCCATTTATTTGAATATGTAGGCCTCTAGTGGTCAAATCGGGTAACACCCAAAGCAGATGTCAACACAACTTCTGAATCAAAACGCTCATTCCCTCCCAAACTACACCATTGATCTAATTATTAAATCATAAAAGAAGAGTTTTCCGTTACCCATCTGAAGAAATAAACATTTAGCCATTTAGAAACACATGGGTGCCAACTGGCAGTCAGGGTAGAGTTAGATTTTTGATCATTAAGTTTATAAATTTTTTTCAGCTGAGTTCAGGACCGTTTTATAATTTGATCATTATCTCATAATTCTCATTGTTTTGAAGTACAAAAAGAAAGCGCACATTGCTGTTTGTTTCTTGGGAACCGTTGAAGACAATCCAAAAAACACAGTATCAAAAACATGCTGCGTCGTGAGTCACAAACACGCCTCATCAATTAACACTTACCTTCAGACATTATGTACACTTTTAGAAGGAAAAACACAGTTGTTTGTTTTCTTCATGTTCTTTATGAGAAGAGTATTATCACATAATTACAATATTATTCACAGGAGAGGCCTAAAATCAGAAGACATACAACTAAACCACATCAATAACCAGAATTAAAGACGAATCGTATGAAAAATCATCTTAGAAATGTCATAAAAAAGTTTTGCATACAGAATATTATTACTTTAGGATGCACTGCACATTAATTTTCTTTATGCAAAATGTAGATTTTTTTTTTCCTTTTGATTTTGGGGTCTTTTAAAAGAAAATAAAAAAACTTGCACAAAGAAAATGAATGGGCAACAGAAAAATCCTAAGACTCCAAAAATAATTTTCTTTATGCAATTTTTTATTTCCTTTAAAAAAAAATTTTTT